TTCTTCCTGTCGATGGTGTCAATTCGCAGAATACACCATCGCTCTTAAGCGCTTTCAGTCCTGACTGTGGACGCTTAACAGGGCACTACTGTTATTTTTTAATGAAGGAAGAGATTAGTAGTTATCACGAGCAATTAGCACGAGTCTATTTTTAACTTTCCGTCGAAGCGTGCTCGTAGGAACGAGCTAACGTTTCAACTTCTGGCAATCGCGAATGCAAATCGCGTATTGAAATTAAAACGGGCCCGAACTGGGTCAACTATTCGGTCCATCCGACGTTCAACTGCCTTCTACATATAATGAATGCAAGCGTGTCACGATGCTGATCGGGTAAACGACTCGTTCAACAGAGAACGACTTGCGCGCCGTGGATAATAATGGTGGAAGCCTTCAAGAGCAATGGACTGGTAAATCTAGATAAATTCTGATAAATCCCGTTCCCGGATAACTTTCCGTATTTTTATATCGCGACGCGTAATCTTTGATTATGTTTCTTGCCGGGAGAGTGGTCAACAACGAAGAAGATGTGGCAAATCTCGGCCGGAGTTTTATGCCTCCTGTTCGTATGCGTATCGAACTTTTTACGAACGCGAGTATCTCGCAAGACGAGAGCAGAGCACAGAGGCAGCATTCATCCGCGACTCTGCTCCGACTTTACCTTCGTCGCGACAACTTGGCTTGATCAACGTACGTTCGTGGTCTCAGGCAGTTAATTGTCCAGCTACTTCGTGACTCGCGCAACTCCGCTTATTTGTATTCGGCCAACAAATCGATTAGCGAGCCTCGCACGACTTCTTCAGTCGCTGTCCCTCGTAAATCGAACGTTTCCACTACGGGGTAAAATTCACCTCTCTTAGTTGCCGTTGATCCCCTTCGTTTTGTTTTAATTCGTATCGCAACACTGCTTAAGAAATCAAAATTTCCGAAGACTCTCACTCTCGGGATTCACTGTCGTGAATACTGTACGAATACTAAACTTTTGACGAGATGCAAGCGTCCGGTTGCATATAAAAGAGTAGAAAGCGGAAGGTAAACGAAAGGTTTATTCACTTTTCTTGCGCTTACGAGTTTATTTTCGTAAGGAATAAATAAATCAAGCACCGGTGAAACAAATGGCACGTCTTCGTTTCTTCTTGGCTAACGTTGAACAGACTACCAACAAGTTACGCGAATCGAGGCCAAGATAATAACTAACTTACACTCTGCTCTAAACGATAACGTTCGAGAGAGAATTCAATTGCGCAGAATTACGCAGAAGTTTAAAGAAATTAAAAATTCTCCTCCCAATCGGGCGTTCAGACTCTCTCGCTCTCTTTCCACGTTCCCTCTGTTGAGACACGGAACTTGAGCAGCTCGATGCCACTGTTGAATATCGACGGAATATTTAAACGATCGATCGTTAGGCCCCGGTATTACAAACGGATCTTCGTACGCGAGTCACGCGCCACCGAACATCCGGTCATAGTTTCCTGCCACAGTGTACATACATCTCAGCCACGATTGGCGCCTATTTTTGTATTTCGCTCGGCGAGCGTCTCGCGCGGCAGTCTCGGAGGGCGATTCACAATTGTCGCGAGCAATCGCACGACGCGCATTTTAACGACAGCGATCGCTTTGTGGGAGGAAAACCCGACGAAAAGAAAAAAGAAAGAAAAGAAAAGAAAAACAAAAAGAAATCGGCAGACCGTTACTACGCCGGTCGACTTTATCGCTCGAAACGAGCGTCCCCGTTTTCACGAGCGAGCCTTTAAAGAGGAACATCGCGCGCCGTAAGAAGCCGCGCGAAACGATTCTTCCTCCGTTCAACGTGGTTAATTGTTTCGGACAGGGATTCACGGCTGAGCCGATCCCGCCTTCCATCCGGCCTCTTTCCACCCGATTCGGATATTTAGGTCGCGGATGAAGGGCTGTGAGAGCCGTTTCTTTCACGGTGAAATCCTGAGAGAGAGATGCGCACCTATACTATATATACCAGCGACGAAAAAATCCGCACGCCACGGCAGCGGATATCCATCTTCGGCGAGAAACGATCGTTCCGTTTCCGCGAACGACGTCCGATGCACGAAAGCGCAATTTATGGATGCGTAGGAGCGATTAATTCTCGTGATTCAAGAGAGAACCAAGTGGGAATCGAAGTCGATTGAAAAAATTGCGAGGAATATCCACGTGCTGATCCTTGAGGCTATAAATATGTGAATACCTCAAACTTTAATGTGAGTTCCCTATTTATTCCACACCAAGTGGGATATTCGATTTCTCTCAGCTTTGCAAATACGCTTACAATCATCCGCGTATTTAACAAGTAATTTGTGTAATAAGAAAAGAAAAAAAATGAAATATTTGCGTATAATTTTCGACATACCCATATCGATCGCAGCGACGCAAAGAGGTGTCCAAAATATTTCCAATTAAATCGGCTGCAGTTGCGACTCTCGCTTGAAAATCTGTGAAACAAAAGAGGCGTTTTGAAACTCGAGGCACGCATTCGTTGAAACGCGTGGCCTCGCGTGCGAGTTAACGCGGGCCACGTTCACTCGTAGAGAATCGTTTTCGCGGAATTTCGCTAGGAAGATGGCCGAAAAACATCCGCGATTAAGGTCAATTCCGGTCGCGCGGTTTTAATAAACGAGACCTTGTGCCGGCGCTGCGCAGGTTTTAATGCACCCCAGAAACGCGCGTGCTTAATCGGAATGACCTGTATTTCAACTGTATTTCTTTCATCCTCCTTCTCCCTCCGCGACTGTTGGATCAAGCGATAGCTACCATTTTTATTAAAGTCTCTTTCCGATCCAGGGGGAATGTGGCTGTGTCGAGTAAATAGCGTCGATAAGAGGCAGGCACTCGCGATGAGAACGTCGAGTAATCCTTTGCGTCTTCGTCACGGAGCATGTTCTGGTTTACGAGTCGAGCTACAAGTACGACGCAAATTAATTCTACCTTTGTGAGGACTTCTTCCCCCTCTCTCCCCCCTCTCTCCCCTGCTCGTTGGAAAATCGTCGACACGATTCTTTCGTCGATGCGGTTGCACCCAACCGAGAAGAAGGATTTCGATAACAGGACTTTTATTCGTTGATTAACAAGTTTAATCTGCTGTTTCATCAATCATCGATACCGAACCTCTCGTTTCAATCACGGCCGCGGATGAAGTATAGAATACATCTGACATTCAGTGCCTGACGTTTTGGAGGTCAGCTGACCCTCTTACTATTTACGTGTCACATGCAACGTTATCGATTTAGAATAATAACATCACGGAAATTTGCTAAGAAAATAAGCAAGATTGCAGACAATGAATCTAAGCGAAAATCTGAAATTCTACAGGAAGCATTATCATCTCAATTAAAGATCTTAATACGAACACGCTAATTTCATTTTGTTCAATAAAATTGATTAAATTGATGAACAAAACACGAACAGCACAAAATACAAATTCGATCGATTCACTTATAATCAACCCAATATATAACCAACAAATACGTACTAATATTCACTTCTAACCAATATCGGTGATTGAATGTATGTAATAATTCTTTCAATATATCTCTTCTAAATCACGAACAATATTCGACAATGCAAAAACAAGGTTAGAAATTAGTGACTGTAGTTTTTACCTGACAATTTCTCGACAGCTTCTTCTTACTATGCTTCCCGCGTAAATCTGACGCTCTAAAGCTGCGTATTCATTTGTTACATATCTGCGCGTCGTATCGTCGCATCTTCATGTTACTAAAAAGTGTATCTTCGTATCATGCTTTGACGATGTAATAATTGCTCGTCTACATACTACGGTGAATTATGGTACAAAAATGTGCAATAAATAAATACGCGTTATATTCCGGTTTCCAACATTTCTGCCGTACACATAGCCTCAGAAATTTATGTTTAATGTTTTAGGAATATGCGAAAAGAATTAAGCGATATAGAAATATAGTATTGTAATATTAGTATATTGTAATATTAAAATGTGCAATTTGGAAAAATTGACTGTCAAATGGTGCAAAAAAGTCCAACAAGGTTGGGAGCCACTGTTATAGATCGATCGCGTGAATTCGAGAATCGCAACAAGTGAATTACATATTTTTGCCGTATTATTCGGTTGGCGCTGTAATCTTTCTTTAATGATAAGCTAAAGTTACAACGTGCACGTTTCGTGCAAAAGTAAAAGTTTTGTTCCATAATCCTTCTTGACAATTAAAAAGATAGTTGATCTGACAATGTCTGTAATTTTGGTTTTTTTTTAAACTTTGACAGTTAATCACAGGGAGCTTATCGTAACATTTATTCGGCGCTATATTACGAACGTAAGGATCGATTAACGCATAATGTATAAATTGTGTATGAATTGCATACGATTGTATGCCCATTGTATTGTATCGATGTCACGTATTTTGATATAAATTACTCGACCGACATATATGAATGTCCAAATATAGTCAAGAATTTGCAATCCTATGCTATGCTGACTTATCCGATACGTATGTACATATGTATATAGAAAGAGAACGAATTGTTTTCTAATTACCTTATAGTACGTTGTCGTCTCTGCCTTTCCTCGCGGTCAAAAAACTTTATCACAATATAAACGGATACACATACGTGAAAACTTGTCACTTTTATTTCGTTCCAAATTCGAAACCGTCTACAGGTGAAACTATACTGTTTAAGAGTTTTAACAAATACTGCTATTTCGGAACACGTTCGAGTACAATGTCGCCATCTCTCGTAGCGTGAGTGAAATTTCATTCCACAGACTGTGATCGATGCAATTTTACGACGCTTTTCATGAGACGCCATCTTTCATGATTTGAATTTGCAGAATATTCGCGGTTATGTCGTCTTCGATAACGGTTAGTGGCAAAGTGGTCTCTATTAAAATCGTAACAAAAATGGAACAGCGACGTTAAATTTAAGAATATCGGCGTTTATGTCTGCAGTTACAATTAAAGCTAAATGTTAAAGATAATTCAATAAAATATTTAATTTGGAAAACGTAAATACACCTTTTCGCACTTGCAAAAAGTTTTAGGTAACGTTCCTACGTCAACATCATATTACATTTACATATATTTTTTTTTTAAATAAATGAAATATATGTTGTTTGCTGTTTTTATTATGTTATAAATGTATAATGAATTGATTATATGCAAATACATTTTCTATTTCTGGAACATGGACATCGGGAGATAATTTTTGTATTAATCAATTTTATTTTATCGATCAAAGAAGTGAAAACGAAAATTGTGAGGAAACTAACATTCAATCCTTTAATTTTCAATAATATTCAATATGAATTTGAAAATTTTCAAATTGTAATTAACAATTGTATCTAGATAGTACAGGATTTTATTTTTCTTTTTTTTTTTTTAGTATAGAGGTCGCCATGTTCTACACGCATAGCGCCATCTGTCGTTCGTTGTACGGTATCATCGACAACTTTTTCAAGTTACGCGCGTACTGTCCATTTGACAAGTGTTTCGCGTTATTGTGTCGCCGGGTGTATTCTAGTGTGTGAGCGACTTCCAAAAAAATGGGCGTTACAGTGTAAGTAAATTTACGCTTGCAAATACTTTTCCTAACTAACGCAATATATCGTTTGTGCGATTATGGATACTCAATTTGATGTACTACACGTACTCGCTGTGTCTTCTGATATTTAGAGGTTATGTCGAAATAGCACATGTCAGAATAGAACAAACGTTCTAGAATGTTTTATCTCGATTGTTAAAGTATTCGCTAGACGTTGTGATCGTCGCGAGCGTATTTCTTCATTTAAATACAGAGCTAACAAAGTTCGTAACCGGTGTCTCGTATTTGCCAGTTTGCAGCAATATCCGATGACGGAGAACAGAACCGGACCGCAAACAATCGAGTTCTTGACAAAACGAGTCGTCGCTCTTGGTGCAGTGCAAACCGGCCAATTTTTGGTGGACTGCGAGACGTACGTTTCGGTGCCGCAATTGGGTGAGTGATTTCACATTTTGAAATTGAATTTTCGTCACGTTGCGTGCTCAAATGCAGCGTAGTACGCCCTTTCGAGTACAGATGGCTATGATTGTACGTCCGTGAAACAAACTCTGTAAAATGAACGAAATTTTTAATCCTTCACTGCACAGACGTAGCATGATAAGAGTGAAGGAGTCACATCGCTTAATCTACGGAGGTATTACACATTTGTGGAAATGGGTATAGGATTGTTTAAAACATTATGGTAGGAAATGTTTGGCAAAAAAAAGAGAGTAAGAAAAACGATCGTTTAACGATTATATCTGCTTTTTCTTTTGGCATTTTATGTAGGTGTATATGGATTTCTATACAAACACGCAAATAGTTGGTTCCGCCGAAGGTCATTTAGCGCTTGGATATCCAGTATCGTTCGTTATTTCTAGAGAGGTACAAATGCAGACGCTAAACGAATTACGATTTTAAGTACATACTTATTCGTAGCATAAATACAGGGTGCACTCGTTCGCCACGTGCACGTTCTCTTTCAATGCTCAAATTCTCGTACCACCGTATCGGCAGGATTGTTTTGTGCTATTCGTATCTTCTCGATCAACTTTCCTCGCTCAAGAACCGACTGACTTCTGCGCTCTCACCTCTTCAAACAACATTGATTTCTGTGATCATCTCTGTCTAGTTTTAGAATCATTCCATTTGTAAATTAGTAGAGATCATTTATAGAAAGATGGTAAGCGTAAGTCGAAGAGTTCGAACTCGTGCAGCAGCGTATTTTTACATTACATCTTGCGTCTGTCGTTCGCCAATGGATCACGATCTTTCCTTACGGTGGTCGTAACACGAATTCGATGCCCCGCCTCGATTCGAATTTCGCGCGTCATCGATCGATTCAGAGTTGTCGCGCGCGAATATATAAACGCGTCTCTTCATCCGCCAAGGTACAAACGAGCTACGTCTAAGCGTCATTACAAAAATATTAAATCTAGCAAGCGAAGCTAGGCGCGACCTTTTTTAGGCTAGGTCAGATATATTAGATATATACATATATTTAATTTATATTATCATGTATATACCGTTGATGTGTGCAGCTTTTGAAAAATACACTCTCTCGGAATATTCTCTTCTCTGATTAGTTTTATCTACATACAAACGTTCGAACATCCCATTCGGTGACGGCCAGCGCTTCCTTCGAATGTCCTTTACTTTATTGTCGATATAACTTGTAAATATCTCGCGTTTAATTTATTGTCGATAAATAGAAGATGCAATTATGCATATAGATCCTACGTAACAGGCCGTGGCGTATGTTTCCAACACTCGGATGCGCTACCACTTTTGATTTGCAAATTTCTCTTTCGTAACGATTTCCTTTTGTAGCAAACGAACTGTCCAGTCTCCCGTAATTTGCATGATCCGTATATCGATTTCAATCCGCACATTCACAAATAATTTTCATTCTCTTTACACTTGTACATGAATGAATACACAGCGTACACGCACATACACTCTCACACATGATATACGTACACCCACATGCACATGGATGCATGTGTGTTTGATGCGGGCCACGGAATTTTCCAATACAAAAATTTTGATCCGCGACGAGAAGGATAATTTTGAGAAAAAAAAAAAGAAATTCAATCGACGCGTTGATGAATTTTTTAATTGCAACTTGCCCGTGGAATTCTTCGATCGAAAGAAATTTCGTTTTCCCTTTCGTTCTTGTTTTAAACAAATATTACGTCACACCACGGCCTGCATCATTAAACGGCTCAGGATTCCCCGATGTTTATAATGATCGCATGACTACGCGTGTATTAATTGCATTAATACGAATTCTAATCGGACTTTCGCTGATTGCTATACCTAAGGATTACGATAATACCTTCAATTCACGAAAGTGCACAGTGCAGATTTTTATTTTTTATTTTTTTCTTTCTTTCTTTTGCATTTTCTTTATGTTCTTTTTTTCTTTTTTTTTTTTCGCTCGCTGCGTGTCTGTAATTTTATTTCACTTAGCTATCAACTAATCGGAAGAAAGGTTGTTCTGATTAATTAGGAAAGGAACGAGGATGTTTATCGTTACTGTTTGTATAGTTGTTCCAGAGAATTTATCCACTATACCTATCCAGCTCTTCTAGACCACGTTTATACTTATTGTTCGGCGTAGTACACTAAAGAAAAACGGGATAGTCTCACGATGGTCGAAGAATCATTCTGTACAATTTACAACGCATATATATATATATATAGATATTCATATATAGACTCCCGAAGTATATTTTCTTTTTTCTTTTCTTTTTTTTCTCTGTAATTATTCTTATTCTTATCCTACGTGCACTCGTTTCACGAGCAATGCACCTGCGTCAACTTAACTGTAAAGTTTTGTTTATTCAATACTGCGTCCAAGCCCTTGAGCATTATAAGATTCGTTTAGATAGTTATGAGATTCGAAGATGCTGCGTTCTCGTTTCTATTCGTAGAGAGTGACACGCGTGAATGAAGAATTTTTACGAAAATCTACGTACCAACTTTACAAGGGATATGTTTTCAATGCTCGGTATCTTGGATGTCTAACGAAAGCATTGGAAGTATTTAGAATCACGTTTGAATCGAACAGGAAACACATCGATCACCATCCACAAAAGTATTCCG